AAAATTCCGAAAATAAGCCCCGGGGTTTATGTTTTTTAAAGGCCCTTTTTGAGGGGCTTATATTCGGAGGGGCTTATCTACGGAGGGAAATTTGCGTTTCAAAATCAATTGGGCTAGCCTTATAGTTGGAAAAAAATTTACCGTTTTTGCTTTGTTTTACTTTGTATTTGAGGGCAATTTCTAAGTACAAGCCCCCGGGGGGCTTATATTTGGAGGGGCGATTAAACGGAGGGTTTTTTGCGTTACGAGTTTGGGGTGCTTATATTTGAAGGGGCTTATACATGGAGGGGCTTATTTTCGGAATTTTACGGTATTTTGATTTTGTTTTGCGGGGATGATTAGTTCAGTCCCTCGAAACTCTCCCATGGGAGATTACCAAAATTTTTGATTGATGGGCGAACATTCTGAACCAATCGGAACGATCAGTACGCTGGCGTACGGACCGGCTCAAAAAAGCCCCCCGCCGTGCAGGCGGTTTTTCAAGTTGCTCCCGCCCCAATCTCTTCGCGGTTTCTCTGCCCTCGCCCGCCTCAGGAGCCCGCCTTTAGGGAGCTTAAGCGACAACGACGGCGACGGCTACGAAAACGTCACTTAAAAAGTGAATTCGCGCTGCTTTGAACTTTATCGCACTTATTGCATCTCGTTCAATTCGTCAAATGTTGGCATTTTTTCTGGAATTGAATTCTAAAAGACTGCGGTATCGAAGTTCAGGAAAAGGAACGTCGTAGTCGAGCAGTGACGGCAAAGCATTGTACAAAAAAAGCGTGATGCACGTGCAAAGTTGTTTTTGTGCCAATCTAACCAGTTGCTGTTTTGCCCGTTCTCGCTGACGTCGCGGTCGTCGTTGCTTAAGCTCCCTATTCTTAGCGCGCCCAACCAAAACCGCCATGCTACGCAGGCTAATACTAGGCCAGATCATTGACTCAAATCCTACAAAAGTGCATAAGCTTGCCGCATAAACTTTCAGCGTGAACTGTGCAAGACTTCATGAACTCATCTGATTAGATATAACAAAAACAAACATCAAATACAATAATTACTCAGGCTTACCATTCGAGATTCAGTTCCTGAAAACTATCAAGGAAGGCCACAGTTGCTTGAGACTTTTAAACCCTCTTACGCATTAAGCAAGGTGAAAAACAAAAACGATGCCATCCGAAACCGAATTACCGAATTTTGACAAGCGACGCATTTCTCATCCAAAAACCCAGTAAACAAACCAGCCATGAATAACAGAAGACTCTTGATAGCAGCTGTATTTCATTTTGTACATCCAGAGGAAAAAGACAGTTAAACACATCACAAGTTGACACAAAACTCTGTCAGCTTCAGGCGTCAAAGTAAACAACTTTCAAGATGCTGCATAATTTTTCCACATGAACTCACCTGTCAAATTTTGACCAATCAGAGTATAAAAATTGAACGTAGAGCGTGACCAACGCGTGACCGTGGTAAGATAAGGTCTTCCCCTGTACTTTTGAAAAAACTGGCTGAGGTCAGTTTGAAATCAAAATCCTAATAGTGTGGGGCCATAGCGACATAAAGACAACATATTTGATATGAATCATTGGAAAAAATAAACTTGAGCCTGCGATCATTTGAAACTGGTAATTTGTCAGCGGATAACTTCAAAAGAATACTCGACCTCGAAATAAATCGCAAGACCAGACCGTTTTAATGACTTTTCCAGTCATAAAAGGTATCTGTTAGGCCTCGTGGGCCTTTTTACAGACTGAAATGACAGGTTTCCCTACCTTTTCATATACCTCAACTAGTGAGATTTCTACCCTTTCAAAAATCTGAAGCCTGAAAAAGTTACCCCTTTCGGTCGAAGCCTCAGTGTATAGGCCTTTATGGTTAGTTACCCGTAGTTGTCGGCCTACATCTCTGGTGAAAATTTGAAAATAGACGCGTTACAGTCTCTCCACCTGCAGTCCTGCAGTTTCCTAGTTTTCCGTTCGCGTCCTGTCGAAGTTATAAACATTATCTACTGTTATAGATAGTCAGAACTCCCCTGAGAACTTACCAAGCAAAGAATGTTAACCAAAAGAGTCATTTTCTTAACGCCAACATTGGAGCCGAGAAGACAAGGGGTCTAACTTCTGTCGTTTCCTTCCGATAATGTGCTTTCAGAGCTCTCACTGTGTTTGGGTATTCAATCGACCGTAGCCAGGACAACTAATTTCATGACTTAGCTTTTTGTTAGTTGTAATCATGTGTACGTGCTTCATGTTATTTCAGTATCCCATTTAGATAATCCACAGAAACTTTCCACAAACGCTGAAACGTAGTTACCAGAGGTGACGTTATATCAAACTGACTCCAGCGTCAATGGCACGCCATACGCGGTAGGACGTCAATCGTTTCACGGCTGATCATCATTACCTCATATCTCTAACTAGGTTTTGTACAGCTGTTTGTACTGCTTGGCTACATTTTCAGGGAGTACTCTGTAGCATGCCTTCGATTGGAACAAGAAGATCCATGCTTTGTTGGAGGAGAGCTTCCTTCGTCTTTCTGATGATCTTGAAATTGTGCAGCTCTGAGGAATGTGAGTGTACATTTCACGTTTGTGTACAAACCCTTGTGTTTTATTGTTTGACTTTGGGGGCAGACCAGAACTGAGCAAAGATGTAAAATAGGCATGAGTCTCAGGACTTACTGGCGAAAGCTTTCAGCTTTAATTTGAGTGTGCCATTGATAGCTTATAGTTGTTACTCGAGTTTTCGCCCACTGAGCGATCATTGTGTGAGTCCCAGACCCCTAGACTAGGGGACATATCTTAAAAGAAAGTAGCTTGGCGCGTGCATAGTACCATTGAAGTAAATCAACGGAAGAAATATTTCTGCAACTTCATGCAAAGAAACTTAAAGTGGTGTTGTGAAACTTTAACAATGATTGACTTCGAAATAAACTCAGATCAGGAAGCCTATCAACGACCCTCTTTTTAAAACCGGTGTAATGAAAAGAAAAAGTAAATTAATTAATAAATGAGAAAAATAGGAAGTGAGGGTTAATTAAGTTGTTAACCAAAGCAGAATTCCTAGACTGTAGAATGTAACATGCATCGGTCTTTGATTCACTACCTTTTCAAGTCCGCTGAATAATATTGATTTTGCCAACATAATCTCTACCAGGAGCCCTCCTGATCTCTGCAGACCACGCAAATAAGTGGTCACTGTTGGCCCAAAGAAAGATGCCGACATTCAGAAAACAGAATGCGCAAGATATCTTTTCTAAAATTTAACCTGTCCGTTCTTCCTATCGCAATGGATAGGGATTAAATCGGATTAAATTAGTTTTACTGGGAAAAAAGATTCGACTTATCGACAGCATTTTCATGTCTTGAGACGCTGCTGATAACTTAATGCCCACGTTGCTAAGATACGTTGTCGGTATCTTCAGCTGGTTCAATGTATATACGTTCTGCACCATGTCAGCAAAACACTGCGCTCTGCTATATAAGAGTCTGCATAACTAGAAGAGTTATTTTTCCAAAATAAACCCCTTTTTTGAATGAAATCCAAATTTTAGTTCATTGTTCAAGCAGTTAATGCCTATTGCTTAACCTCGAGTAGCGCCAAGAGCGTAAAAAATGTGTTCCTCTGGTTACACGCACGTTAAAACCTAGTAAGGGAGGGGCAACAACTCGGTTAAGAAACCGTTTCATCCCAACAGGATTACAAAGGAAGAAGTCACACAGCACGTACGAAAGACCGGCTTCATGCAAAGAAACTTAAAGTGATGTTGTTAAACTTTAACACTGATTGACTTCGAAATAAACTCAGATCAGGAAGCCTATCAACGACTCTCTTTCAAAAACCGGTGTAATGAAAAGAAAAAGTAAATTAAATTAATTAAATGAGTAAATTAAATTAAAAAGTAAATTAAATTATTTAAATGAGAAAAATAGGAAGTGAGGGTTAATTAGGTTGTTAACCATAGCAGAATTCCTAGACTGTGGAATGTAATAATGCATCGGTCTTTGATTCACTACCTTTTCAAGTCCGCTGAATAATATTGATTTTGCCAACATAATCTCTGCGGACCACGCAAATAAGTGGTCACTGGTTGCCCAAAGATAGATGCCGACACTTAGAAAATAGAATGCGCAAGATATCTTTTCTAAAATTTAACCGTACCTGTCCGTTCTTCCTATCGCAATGGATAAGGATTAAATCGGATTAAAGTAGTTTTACCGGGAAAAAAGATTCGACTTATCGACAGCATTTTCATGTCTTGAGACGCTGCTGATAACTTAATGCCCACGTTGCTAAGATACGTTGTCGGTATCTTCAGCTGGTTCAATGTATATACGTTCTGCACCATGCCAGCAAAACACTGCGCTCTGCTATATAAGAGTCTGCATAACTAGTAGAGTTATTTTTCCAAAATAAACCCCTTTTTTGAATGAAATCCAAATTTTAGTTCATTGTTCAAGCATTTAATGCCTATCACTTAACCGAGAGCGTAAAAAATGTGTTCCTGTGGTTACATAGCACGTTAAAACCTGGTAAGGGAGGGGCAGCAACTCGGTTAAGAAACCGTTTCATCCCAACAGGATTACAAAGGAAGAAGGCACACAGCACGTACGAAAGAATGAGAAAGGATTCGTGCGTGATACTTGTTGACGATAAGATATTTTTCATTACGACGTACGGTTACTGCTTCGATTGTTAACTTTCAAAAATATTTTTGACTTTCTCATTATATTTCCCTCAATTTACGAAGGAGTTTTGTATTTTGTGAGTAACGGGGTAAAATTGACTTTAAATATATCTGTGCGTAATGTATTTTTTCTCTCTATCTACGTAGCTTCCTCCTTGGAAATACAAGCATTTCAGCCAGCGGTTGTTCCCATAAGAGCCATTACAACACTAACACTTAAAACCAGCGTGGAACTGAATGTGACTTCAAATACCACTCTTCAATGCAGATTCAAAGACATTTCTGTGCCGGCTAGGAAAGAGGATGGTTTCATTTTCTGCGAGACGCCACCAATGAGAAATACCGTCAGAGTCCCCCTCTTTCTTGATGTTGATGGACAATTATTCAAAACTAAAAAGCCGCTCTATTTGCACGGTTAGTGAGTCTAAGTAATTAAGGTTGCACTTACGGTCAAGCCAAGTCTACAAAACCTCGTTTTATAAAACCCTTTCATGTGACAATGTTTTCCCGTATTGTTTTGGTCTTGTAGACCTTGTAAACAAAGGTGTAACAACTTGACTTACTACTGAGTAATATATCATAATTGAGGTCAAGCCGGCGTTATCTGTTGTCCAGTCATGGAGAAAGGGGAAAATAAGGCGAAATCGACTGTTCTTTTTAACCGACGTGATTTCTGGATATCGTATAAAACGCTTTGTCGAGTGCTTTGATATAGCTTCTCAAAGAAACAATAATGACAAATAATAATGACATTTGCCTGAGAAAACAGCCTACACGCCACCACTGAGATCTCTGCAAAATGATGTCTGTGAAACGAGCACAGAAATTCCACACTGATGACGCGTCACTATCGAGATCTGGGTAGTGCTTCTAATTGGTGGAAGCAAATTTTCAGCCAATCAGAAGCACTACCCAGATCCGTATGATGACGCGTCATCAGTGTGGAATTTTTGCACTTGTTTCTCAGACGTCATTTCGCGTGAAAACCTGTGGCCGGCGTCACGAAATATCAGCCGTTTTCCCAGGCTAAATTTATATCACTGTGGTGATTGCTTTTTCTCTTCATAAATTAATATTAATAAGAGAAGCATATATGGAAACCAGGTGGTCATGTTGTTAGCCTGCGTGGCAGGCGTTAAAAGGCGAAGGGGAAGGGGGAATTTGGGCGAGCGAGGGAGAAAGGAAAGGAAGGCCTGCAAGGACGCCATTCTTTTCTCCGTTTTTCACGCTCAGATTCTGAGCGTGAAAATAGTGATTGGTCAGAATTAATTAAATGTCAATCTTCGACTTAATACCTTTTTCCCATTGGTCGAAATCAACATCACGCCATTTGAGTAACTAAACATATATCGTCAGTGAAGCGTGATGAGATTTCTCTACGGGAATTCATCGTTAGAAGGCATCAATTTCAGCTTAAAAGGAGAATTTTTGGTTGAGGACTTCTTCTTGCCGGTTATAAACCACCAGGAACTCACTTTAATAATAAATTGCTGCCTTCTTGCAGCTCTTCGAAGTTCAGCCCTTCTTTCCCCCGCCATCAGCGTTCTTTTGTGTGCTCCGCTGGATCCAATTCGTCCTGATAGAAATTCAAAGAGTGCTTGACGGCAAAGTGTTTTAATTTTCTTAGACCAACATTGCACTGAAAGTTGCGAAGAGCCACTACCTTTCTTATTAAATGGTTTTCCAGCCCGATTACTTCAGGAACAACTTGAATAGATTTATGCTGGATTTTATGTAACTCGGCACGCGTCGTTGCAACTTTCAAGGAAGATTCATTCAATGCACGACCGCATTTGAACTTTTTTATAGTACCTTTACTTTAGATTTCTTGTTTTAGGAAAACAAAAGAAAAACAGCGCGAGAAATACGCCGTGCATCGCGGCCAGACTTATTTGACAGCTAGTCATTCACAGTTGCGTTATCTTTGTAATTTTTTTAATTAGTAGGTGGGATGGCGAAAACAATGGCTTCCTTGCAGGCGTTCCCCTCCTCCCTCCTCCCTCGCGTGCGGTCTCGCGCCCTAATTCCCTTCCCCTTCCCTCTCGAACGCCTGCCACGCAGGCTATCATGTTGTATGTTTTAAGAAGGTTTTTTTTCACTTATTTTTGCAGACCCGTTCAAAGTATCAAACGTTACCCCTTCATTAGTTTCGCCGGCTCAAAACATCTACTTGACAGTCAGCGGTATTTCTTGTCAAGATTGGTTACAGTATTTCGTCCGGTTTCAGACCGCAAACGGAACAAAAAAGACCCAGCAGGGGATCTGTAAGGATTCTATTATCTCGTGCTATGTCCCTGAATTTTCACCCAATACACGGCTTCGAGTTGGCTTGACTCTGAGTAACAGACTAGTGGAGTGGGCTGACAGGAAGATTCTTATACAGTGTGAGTAATCTTCGATAAGGGCGATTCATAAAGCCGCTCGAGTAACACCACCCCCATTGTAGCCACCAAAAAACCACAACCTTTAATTCGGAACTACAAGGAGATGTTACGTGACAAACTCATGTACGATAACCAACTTCGCGATAAACATGGTTTCTAGATGGAATACAAAATACATGAAAATTACAGAAATAGAATGAAAAACTTACACTAACACTTAAAACCGACGAAATACAGAAAACGTTAACAAAGGAAACTTACAACACGTGTTAAGACGTCCGGCGAGTACGATGAAAACCGATTACTAAATGTAAAAACAAATACAACCGCCTAAAACTTAGCACAAACGTGGCGAGCACCTTTTCACATGTTTACGACCGCGAGGTCCTGGGCCTAAGTAAAATACCGCTGGTCGGGTAAATAATAAACCGAATTTAGGCATAACCTGGAACTATATCCATCCACCCACCTCTTTTCATGTTTGCTTCGTCTGTGTTCTCAGCCGATACATATCACTATAATTGTTAATTATAAAGAAAGCGAAGGAGCACAAGCTTTAACACAACTTTCAGAAACTCATTAACATTCAGTTAGCATAATTGTCCATAATATTGACTTCCCGAGACTGAAAAGTCAAGGGGGTGGTTTCACACGCATCACATTTACTTCAAACCCAAAATAACAACGTTTACCTCTGGTCCGGGCTATTCAAAGCTGGGTTATAGGATGACGTAGGGTTAAAAGGCAAATTCACTTAAATTCTTTTCGTCTACAATTTGATGATTGGATGCGCTCAAAAGAAATAGAATGCTTTTGAACAAAACAAAAAGGACAAAAAGAAAACCGGATTAAAATTAAGCCCTAGCACTAATTGGCCTTCAAACAACTGGGCCCTGGCGTAGCGCCAGCTCAAAATTACATATTCGAACATAAAATAGAAAAAAGGTTGTATTGTAATTTTACTTAAGAGGTAGGAGAAGGAACTAAATTTAAAAGAGGTCTTAAAACGGTCTCGCATTTTGCGTTGTAGATCCGATAGACGCTATGAAAAGTTGGGTAAAAGACGTGAAAACAGACACTACTGCGAAAGGATCGTTTGCATTCGTGGTAGTACTCAGAGATCGCTTTGGAAATCCCATTAAAGTTATCGAGAGAGACAACAAGAAACCGACAAGGGTATTAGTTCAGTACGCGCCAAGGAACAAACCACAACAAATGACCTTCCTAAAGTGTACCACGACCATAAGGAATCATGGGACTGGTGATGAGTTTGTGTTGAGCTGCGCAGGCGCTGAAAAGGAAAGTATCTATTTTTATCCTTCCATAAACAATGTACCACTTGGTGGGAAGGAGAGGTATGAAGCTACAACTACCTTATGCCCTGGAAAGAACAGTTGTGAAGATAATTAGCTTATCATGCATACGGTTTAAGTTATGTATACACTATACCGAATAGCTTTTCGTGTCGACACGAACAGCTATTCGATATAGTGTGAACAGCAACGGCACAGGAATGGAGCAAGTCGTTCACACACATCTAGGAGAGTCATGTTTTCAAAACTTTTTACCGCCTTTTCTAGCTGCGGGCATGCCAGACTTTCTACATGTTTGATGAAAGCAATAAATAAAGTGTGCTTAAGGTGACTCGACCCAGTTTTTTTCGGGGGGTACCATCCTCTCCTACTTTGAAGCTCTCTGGTATCCCCACCTTTACTTTTATCGTAAGTCTAACACATAGAATGGATAACATATAGATCAATCTACAATATAGCATAAAATTTTGGGCGATCGGAGTAAATGTCACGTGGTTATAATGCCACGCCCCTTTGAGGTCTGAGTCGAAAATCTGCTGTTGCAGGCATTTTTTCGTCAAAATCTCTCGACTACATATAGTGCGCATTAGTGCCTTGCGCTGAACAGAGTTTCACCAAAATCGCAAAGACCCAATTCGAGAAA